AATGGGAATAATAAAAAAGGCACAGTTGAGAAGATTAAAATTAGCTAATCCACATAAATAATTTAAACTGTTTTGCAAAAAGTAAATAAATCCTCAGTAAATGTCAGCTGTGATGTGAGCATGATGATAATGACTGATGATGTAATTACTGATTACTTACGCAGAAAGATTACAACTGTATAAAAACTGAACTGACAATTTTTATTTTAAAATATACTTTAAGGTCTCCATATACTTAAGAACATATACTTTAGATATGAAATTTCAAGATGGCTATTCTATATTGCTTTAATGCAAGTTCACTTTGAACCTATTCAGATGTGATCACAGTAATCAGACTTTGCCTCAAAATTTCAATTAAAAAAAAAAATCTACCTGTGGAAAAAAATACTTAAAAAAGCTTAACATGATGATATAGGTCCTTCTCTCTCAGAAGTACATTAAAATAAATTTACTTACTGTACATACATAAAAGCTTAACAATATCAGCTGTTTTATTAAAATGTTTCACATGGGGGAAAAAAATTAGAATTCCTGACATTTTAACATGGTATTACTCTTCATCGGCCATGAACCGAAATCTCAGGGTGAGAAAAGGGCCAGACCAATGCTGAAAGGTTTCAAATATCAAACTATACTATTATGTCAGTGCCCTAAGATCAATTAGCACCTTTCAATGACAGAAAAGGTTACAGTGAGACTCAGAGGTACACACTCTGCAACTGTTCTAAACCACCATGTAAATGTGGTTTTGATAACTCGAAATGGTTTCTATTTTTAAATTCATCTGTTTCATCGCTTCTTCTGGAAGAAAGAAAAGGAGCTAGGGGGGTAAGGATAGTGGTATTTATTTTCAGTACCACTCTCCTAGTAGAAACCTGGATGGGACATGGTAAGAATCACAAACTTCACCAAGGCATATCCTAATGTGCAGAGCCACAAGCAATATTAGGTGACAGTAATGTTTACAAAGTCTTCGGACCTCTTAAAAGCAATCAGAGTTGCTTATACTACTTCAGAATATGTGATTCTTGTTTATTTCTTCCACTCAAGTTCAAACTAAGTGAAGCCAAGTTCACTCCAGGTACAACTTAATATTCAGTGTCTCCCACGATAAAATTCATCTAACTGCAAAATGCAGTCTCACGCTAACTGCAATGAAATACACCACTGCACCTCACCCATCTCTAGAACGAGTGCCTGAAAGAGCATGTCATTTCTTAGTTCACTGGGAAAAATTCATGAGAGGAGCAGGTACACTGAAAGTCATCCTATCCCTCCTGGTGTGGATTGCATTCACCCAGTAACTGTTGTAATAAAATCCTCCAAGGGTATTTCTGAATACAATTAGTTTAAGATACTCTACAGGGAGACACATTATAAGAGTTTAGAATATGTAAGAATAATATCTACTTGAAAAAGAAACTGTCATGATTATTCTCACTGAAAAAATAACAAGGTGTTTCATAGATGTTTTGTTCAGCTCTTCAGTGAGGGGATTCAGAACATCTACTTTTGATAACACACTCTTCTGTTTGTTTCTTAGATGAGTGATCTGAAATATTTACAACGAGACAGTACCTAATTTTAGGTTTTAAGTGCTTTAACAGCTCCATGAAATATGACCAGCAGCTGCAATACAGAACTATGGTGAATAAACTTCTTGCAAAGGGGGGCCTGTTTTTACTGAATGTTCAGTGTTCCTGCATTTACCTAACAGAGGGGAAAAAAGATAATGAAAAATATAATAAATACTTGCACTCTTAAATTACTTAACATTTCACTAAGTCTTGAAAAGGATTATCTCCCCTCTTCTTCAATTCTGTATAAAAAGTGTGAGCTTCCACTGGGTGAAATAAGTATAATTTTATTATTTGTGAGTTAGAATGTGAACTTTCCAACATCCTAACTTTTCATAACAGTAGTCATGGTTTTTCTATCATTCTACTTTTCTAAAACTTCAGGATAATTTAATTTTAGTGCATAAAATTTTTTAAAATGAAATACCAAGCCACATATATTTTTAGACATGGCATCAGTCATTTAGAGCTTGCAACAGAGATTGAAAACATGAAATGGGACACCTTATTTCCCGTGGCTATGTAAAATTTATTTACACCCCAAATCATAATATAAATAAAAAGAAAACTCTCAGAAATGGAGGTCTTATTTTTCTTTTCTGTTTAATTCAAAGAGGTTTTTGAAAGAAAAAAATAAATTACAGCAAAATGGCAACCTACTGATCCACCCTCAAAAAAGAAACTTTCATGAAGAGACAATTTTTTTCAACTGCCTCTACAAATCCTCTAGAATGCAGCATCTGTACTTCTTAATAAGAGTAATGATTATTTTTATACAAATTTCTTTTTATACAAATCTTAGGGTTTTTTTTAATTTTTAAACCTGAACATAAACTTAAATATTCTCTAAATATATAAAAAAACTTTTCATTCTGTAAAGAAGAAATTAAGTCTCTAATATCAGTAAACTACTTATTCATTAAAAAAGAATAATCAAGTAAATCTTTTAATTTCAGTTATAATCGTGAAACAACCTCTAATTACGGTGGCCTTAGGTTGACGCATACTATTTTCAGATAATTGGCAAAGGAAAACTGGCTTTTGAAAACCTATTGATTTTAGACCTTTACCTATTATGAAAGGCAAGGCTATATCCTTAATAATCAGAAAAAAAGGAACAGTTTTCAGACAATCTAATTATGTTACTTTCAAAGCTATAACTGTCAAGGGTTTTAACTGTCTTCTACAGCCATTTCAAAAAAAAATGGTTTAACTCTGAATGGCTTACAACTTTTAATGAGGCAGAACAAACTATTTTTATGGTTTATAATAACAGTAAAAGTGAGTGTAGTTGTATCTGCATCTGGTATTGTTGCCATAAAGATCAGATTCTGGCAGTCTAGCTTCACACAAAATAGTTTCCCTCTTCTTACTACTGCTATCTATTTCTTGGGATAATGTTATACCACACCCTACTATGTACCAAATATTTTGTTTTAGGATTCTCTCCCGGCCCCACCCCCTTCCTAGCTTTTGCTTCTTCAGCTATAAACTGGCCAGAAATATTTAAAAAGAAAAAAAGTTGGGGCGGGGGAGGGCAATGTTTCTGCTTAAAACCTAATTTTACCCGTGAAAGGTTACATCCCTGTCCTGAGGAGGTTTTTAAAATAAAACCAAAAACAACTCAACAGACAAAAAAAAAAAAAACCATCCTCAACTTTCAAGACTGTCAGTCACCTACGTGTAAATCAAACTTCAGGAGCTGTAGAAGGGGAGCCCGCGGTGCTTAAATGCTCCTAAGACTTCCACCTAAGTCCAGAAGAAGGAGCGCCCGCTGAAACTGACACGCCCGAGGGTGCAAAAAGTGGCCGCAGAGGAGAAGAGGAACAAAATGCCATATTCGAGAAGATATGTTTCGCTCCATCAATTACGTTGATGCCAGGGTGCCAAGCCAAAACCGGTAAGGGAGAAAGAAAACTGTTAAGTATGAGCTCTTAATGTGAAACCTAACCTGTTGGTTCTCTTAGGTATCAGATTTTGGAAGTGTCTGTAATGACAGCCAGGAAAGCAAATTAATGGCCAACGGCCCACTGGGTTTGAACACAAGACTCCTGTTACCTCCTCACAGATCAAGTACACAACACACACGCACACGGAGGTGCTCCACGTGGAACTGCTCTGAAACCAAAACACACGCCCCGTCGCTATTCTGCACCTTGGCAGAAAGGTCTGAGGGACCTGCACCTTCCTCCACTGCCCTCAGATTAGGATTCATGAATGACTCTGCCCGCTGGGCAGTGCAGGGCACAGACGCCGGCGGCGAGGGGAGAGAAGACCGACTCCAGACGACAGCCTCCCACCCACGCGCTCACCTCAAACACAAACCCCATTAGCTTTCAAAGGAAGGGGAAAGAGAGGTGGTGGTGAGTGGAGACGGTGCCGCCCCAACTAGGAAAGGGATGACAAAAATTAAGCTGCGCTCTCCGGTTTCGCCACCGCTCAGGCGCGGCACTCGGTCGGCAAATTCCCTAATGGCTCCAAGCTGTTCCGAACACTGTTTACAAAAGAAAGAAACATCTTGAAAGTGCTACTAAACGAAAGTTCTGGCTGCTGTGCGGCGCAAAATAAAACAAGCACACACACACACGATCTACTTCCAAATCTCGCTTAACAACGCTGAAGCAGCGAGCCGTTTCAAGTCCCGCAGCCGCCCGGACACCGCAGGCTTTGGAACGAGTAAACCTGCTCCCCACGGCCCCGGCCAGGTCCCTCCGTTTGGAGAAGTTATCATTCCTCCACGGCACCCGGGCCAATGAACGCGAGTCCTCTGAAAAGGCGCCTCTCATTTCACGGACCCTGGCAAAAGGCAGGAGACATTCGGCCCACGCCACATAACTTTTAAAGTGGGACGGCCGCAGCTGAACAGCCCGGTTGGTGCCTCGAGATGAGAACACAAAGCATTAAACGTACACACGCACCCAGCACCGTGAAAACCCCAGGCGCCTGGGGCCCTTCATGGGACCCGGGTCAGCATCCTTGAGTCTGACTTATCTAGGGCGTCAAGGCAAAGTAACAAATGTCACAAGAAGGACGCAGGGGAAACGCAGGGGCTCGCGCCTCTGCAAGGCGGGGACGGAGTGCAGGTATGGAGCGGTGCAGCCTCTTCCGCGAGGGCTCCGCGGGGAAAGAAAGGCTCGGCAGGGACCTTCGGGGCGCCAGGGCGTCCTCCAGGGCAGAACACATCGCGGCACTCAGAGCGGCCCGGGCCCTTGGGCAGGGGGCACTCCGCAACGAAGCGCCCTCAGAGACCCCGGCTCCCACACACCTCCCCGCAGTGCGCCCACTGTCCCCAGCGCTTGGCGCCCCCGGAGGAGCTGCGCGCACTTTCCGGGGAGTGTTTGCGGGATCCCTGAAACCCGGAGCCCGCGGGCCCCGGAACGGGGCGGAGGGGGAGGGGGCGTCGGAAGAAGAGGCACTCACCTCCTGCCGCCCGGACCGTCTCGGGATCCCAAATTCAAGTGTCTCCCCCAGCAGCGGATCCGTGCGTCCGTATTTAGGTACTTATTCTCGTGCCTTCTAGTGTTGAAGTTTCCCCTGAACGCTGTGCCTCTGGTGAAAAGAGGACATCCCCTTCGGCCACCCCCCAACAAACAGCTTACACCAGTGGGGGAGAGACGGGGCGGGGGAGAAGCCGGCTACGAGGGGGAGGAGGAAAGGAGAGGAGCCAAAACTCCGGATCGACGACAGAGGAAAAAAAAAAAAAAAAAAAAAAGCGCGCGCCCAGCCACCGCGGTCCTCACTGCCCGGCTCTTCCCCAAGCTCTCTCCCGCTCCGAAAGGGGAGCGACAACTTCACGCGGCCCGGCTCGAAGTTTTGCGCGGAAGCCGGGAGCGGCAGAGCGTGAGCCTCGCCGCGGGCAGCCTCGCACTTGCGCGCGAGGCGGGGGCGGGGGACGCCGGCGCCCGCGGCCACTGGAGGCCGCCGGGGGGGGGCCCCCCCCGGGGCAGGCAGCGGGGGGCGGCGGCGCGCGGGGAAGCGACTCCTTTTTATTCGACCTGGAGCGATTGCCTGTTGTCATCGTTGGCGGTCCCGCGTGGGGACCGCTCGGGGCCCTGGGCGTCCCCAGTGGCGCCGCGGTGATCTCTGCGCCCTCCGCGCCGCCCCCACCCCGCCCCCACTGGCCTGGCGCCGGCCGCTGCCACCTCCCGGCGGAGGGGAGGGACCCGCGGCCGCACTCCCCTCCCCGGACCAGGGAACGGCTCAGTCCCCACCTGCTTCGGCCCGGCAGCCCCCGAGCAGTCTGTAACTCGGTCGCTACCAGATCCCTGGGTGTCGGCCACTGCGGGCTCCCTGCGAGACTCCTTTCCACTTACCCCAAGGGAGGAGAGAGGAGGGACTTCTCCTACTTGCAACCAAGTAAAGTAAAATCCACCCCACGTTGGACTGGGGAGCTTTCTCTGAAGGAAGGAAATACCCCTTTCGGTGAAGATGTATGCGAGGCACGAGTAAGCAGTCTGGGGATAGGTTGTGCTCGAAGGGCCTGGGCCCCTTCCAGCGCTGGACGTAGGTATAGGCATCCCTCCCAGACGCCCAAAGGTCGGGCTGCGACGACCGACTTCCAAGGCAGCGTCAGAGCTTCCCCAGGCACATTGCTGAAGGGACATTTCATGCGTAAGCCTTCTGCGCATGCAGTATGCACCCACATAGAATCTAATATTCTACATGCACACACGTGGATATCACAATCAGACATGTGAGCAAAGTTGGCAATAAACAATACATACATTTTGTATCCATTTAATCACCTCTTAGCAAAATCTATTATCAATGTTAGGAATATCTTTTTTAATTGTCGTTGATTATAAGTGTTTTAATTTATTGAGAATTTACTGTCAGTCATTACACTGGTCACTTATGGTACATGTGAGTTCATGTAATTTTCACAACTCTATGGTGGTTATTTAATCCCGTACAAGAGATAAGGAAACTGAGGCCCAAAGAAACCTAAGGGATGTTCCCCAAGATAAACCCAGTGGTCTCAAAACACAAAGCTTATGATTCAACAAGCAGCCACTTATACTGCCTTAGATGTGACCTGAGAGATTACAAGTTAACTAGTAGAAATTACTCCCAAAGAAAATTTCGTTCTAATATATTAACAACTGAATTATATTCTGTACAAAATTTAGAAAAAAATTTCACCCTCTGCTAGTCTTAAGCAATGGAACACCAACACTGTCAAGTTCAAACACAAAAACGAGTATCGAATACTTACAGTTTCAACTTATTTTTGGATTAGTGGGGCATTATCTACAATTATTAATAGGCAATGGGAAAGGTGAGGTTGTAAATTTAAACTGATAAACGTGCTCATTGTTGTTCTCATCACTCACTGGGCGTTCTTTTCTGCAGATTTATTTGGGAGGGCTTAGGCACCGCCAGGCATGTTTCCTCTTCTGACACTCAAGGTAGAAAGGGTTCTGGCAGTGGGTTTGGCGCAAAGGGGATTTGGACCATGATCTAGAGCCACATTCCGGCCTGAAGAGGATGCCAGTTATTATACACTTAAGAGGGAAATATCAATGGGCAGATTTAATTAACTTTGCAGGTCTTATTCTCCCCATTTTACAGGTGAGAAAACTAAGGGCTTAGAATTTTTAGCAAATTGCTAATAAATGGCAGACCTAAGATTCAAACAACTGCTAGCCACTGTCATGCTATTATTATTAGTGGTAGTAGTGAGAAAAATAGTAATTATTTTAGTACAGTTTATATGTTACAGGTAAAGTATGCAATTTAAGTGTTTTGTCAATCATTCACTGTCTAGGAACGCTCAGTGGCTATAGTAATTATCATGTAAAAATTAAGTACAATGCTGAATGTAATACTCTCCTCATAATGCCACAGATTTTTAAATTTCGTTTTGGTATGAAACATTATGTGTTAGTTTGACCTCTAATGAAAAGTGAGAAGATGCATAATTTGGATAAAATAAAAATTCATACTTTAGTGCAGCATATTGTTTTACAGTCTTTTTGCATGTTTCTTTACCCCCTTCAAAAATTGTATTTTCAGCAATACTGGTCTTGCTTTCAAGTTACTTTTCTCCCACGTAATTTTTTATAATCTACATAAGAATATGTTTACAGAAGTTATCTCCCCCCCCAAAAAAGAGAATCACATCACAACATTAGTTAACTTATTACTACTTTCAAATCCATTTACATAGCCTTAAATAAACATATACTACATAGATGCCACTAGGACTGATATAAAATCTCACATTTTCAGTCCACCTTTGAAATAAGCTGAGCACAAGAAATTTAAGAATTTTAAGGTTGTATAGGCAAAAATGTATTGCATATTTAGACAAGGCATTATTTCCAGCATTTCTACTGAATACCACTTTTATAATTATTGCCATATCACCTTTAATATTACTGACTCAATATTATTCTTTAAACAAGCTATTTTTATTATATAATTTTATATGATAAAGGAAACTTTTTATCATCATCATAAATGGAAAACCAATATAATTTGCCACAAATAGAAGATGACCTTGTAAATAAATCTTTATTATAGAAATAAAAATTATCTTGTACCACCTAAAATTATCTGACACGCCAGTTTGAGAAACACTCGCTTAAAGAATTACACTCCGATGTCCCCTGGGCTTTCCAAAACAAATTTTCCAACCTTCCATTTCCATTACTGTAGAGAAATGTTGAGTCCAAAATTCTTTTAGGTATGGTATTTAAAATTATGGTATTAGTCAACTGTTGATTTCCGTGCCTAAAATATACTTGAAGTATCTGAAACTGAAGTGTCTTAAAATTAATTCTTTCTTGAATTTTATTTTATTTTTTTTACACAGCAGGTTCTTATCAGTTATCTATTGTATCCATATTAGTGTATATATGTCAATCCCAATCTCCCAATTCATCCCACCACCACCACCCATCCCCGCTTTCCCCCCTTGGTGTCCATACATTTGTTCTCTACATGTGTCTCTATTTCTGCCTTGCAAACTGGTTCATCTGTACCATTTTTCTAAACTTAATTTTTATCATTTTTCTTCCTAGTAAAATTCAAACAATTCATAAGCCCACAATTAAAAAGCAAATTACTCTCATGGGAGATCAGAGCAGCTACTCATTACCTTCTGTATTGTTACTCAACAAGCACTTAGTCTTAGGACTTAGCCACTGAAAAAGAAACTTAAACTGGTAACATCACGAAGTGGCAGCATCTATTGGCGCAGTCTGGTACTGCAACAAAGTTCTACAAGGCAATGAGAAGGAGAGGTGAAAGTAGATCAATGGAGAGGAGCTAAAGAGCCTGAAAGGATATGTAGGAAGGAAAATTCTGAAGTCAGAAATCTGCTGGAAAATTCTGGAAGTGATTCAGAAACACTAGCAGGTCCGATATGACATGAATCAGACCATCAGAATATCCATGAACGTTCAACTTCATCTAAGAAAGGACATTGGTTGTTGGGGGGAGAAAAAAAAAAGTGACTTTATAGTGAAAATCAGTGGAAATAAAGGACTCACGTATTAGCAATTCCTTTAGCCAACCCCTCCTGCAGTTATCATCTACTATTTATTTTGAAAGTGTGCATGGCACCTTTTTGGCATTGGTTAGTGTATAAGTCAAATTAAACAAACAAAGCCCTCTAAGAGCTCACAATCCAAAACTCTATTTTTATTTTAATTTTATTTTAAAGTAACCTTAAGGGAAAACCTTTCCATCACTTTAGTAAGAGCAAACTTGAGGCTAAAAAATGGAATAAGACTATTACTGAACACAAGTTCATGTGCCCGACACCAAACTAACCAAAGCATCAGAGTTTGGAGTAGAGAAAGGATTACTCCAGGGCCAAGCAAGGAGAAGGCGTGCTTTGGAACCTCAGGAAATGTTTTAGGAGACTGAATGAAGCCTGATTCCTACAAACAAGAAGCGGGGGACACGGAAAGGATTTGTACCCGGGAGTGCACCACAGGGTCCTGCTCGGTCCTCAATCCTACATTCACCAAAAAAGAAGCCAGAAGACTGGATGCTTGTAGAAATAATCCTCAAATAGATCTCTTAAAGTACTCATTTTTGGTACCTTCAAAGTCCAGCTGGAAGTATACACAATTCTTAAAAAATAAAGTCATTTGGTTGTCTCCCAATAAATTCTAAGCCCAACCCTTTGAGTTTTGGGAGAGTGGACTTTTAGAGGCCAGTATCAATATGAACTAGGCTTAACACTGTTTTCTCTACTACTCTGCCAATGACAGAGAAAATGAAGATAAAATATGATTGCCCAGGAATCTAAAGTGCTGTGCTGTTGGTTTTCTAAAAATCTATAAATAAACACATTTTCTGAGTAATTTTTGTGCAAACAGATCAAGCTTAAAAAGGTTTCTACTGGTTAGTGAAAGTGAAGAAATCAGATCTGCAGGGAACCTGTTGGGTCATTCTCTACTGCCCAGCTCTCTGCTAAACTTCCTCATTCTTGGCTGAGTCTCTAAAGAAAAGGAAATGCATACTCTCTGGGAGACAGCTTCATTATATTTACTCTTCAATTCTCTCTTGAAATTTTTTCTCAAGTCAAATCCTTTTAGTGCCATATTATGCGATCCTACTCTATCTTTCGTGTTTACACCCAACCTTCAGATGTTTATAAACAGATATCATGCCCACTTTTAGTCATCTGTTAGCCACGTTAAACAAATGTAAGGCCTTTTAATCTGATTTCAGTTCAGTCTCTCCAAGCCCTTAATCATTCTTATTGCTTGTCTCTGAACTATTTCCAGTTTCCTAGATGTTCATTTTTGTTAGGGGTATCCCACATTGAATGCGTTATTACAGGTGTGGTCTCATTAACATAGTAGAATAAATCCTACGTTTTTTTTCTTCTGTGGCACTATGTTGTGGCTTCCCTGCAAATTCCCGCCAACTCACGCTACTTTCATATTCTGACAAACTTAGTGTAATTTTTTTCTCTATTTTCACCTCACATGGTGTTTCTTTTAGCATACTATAACAATCCTGATTTCCCTTCCAGTACTTCAAAAGCAGTTTTAAATGAT